CTCGTGTTCTGCCATCTTCTTGTTGCTCTGAAAGAGACATAAGTGATCATTTAAACAGGTTTGTGAGTGTTCTTTTATTCCTTACAGCTGCAGAACAGCAGAAACCAGAGAAATTATTAACTAAGCAGATATATATTAAAGAGGAAAAAAAACAAGCTTCTTGTTAGATTTTAAATATTGGCATATCAGTAGTTCATTTTTAAATCTGCCCATGTCAACCACACACTTGTGTAGTACCTGGCAGACATTTTCTCAGTCAACAGTACTTGTGGATGTGTAGAGGAGAATTCATCTTTGTGTGAATTGGTTGGTAATATTGTAGGACAGGGAATTAAAATAGAATATCCATCCATACAAAATACGATGGAATTTTACAGGAACACAAACATGGTTGCAACAGAAACCCAAATGCTGAAATGTTTGGAACAAACAATATCTGACAAGATTTTAGTTGTTCTAACTATCTTGCTTACTTCTGTGGCTTGACCTAGGTTAGGGTTCGGCTTAGCTCTACAGAATTCTGACAGTCTTTGACAGTTGTTTGCACAGAATTTTTAGACACCACTCCTCATGAGAATAATTTGCTCAGAGAAGTGGCTGCTGATGTTCTAGTGATTTACCTGCTCCGAGCTGAATGCAGCTCCTCTTACTCTCCTGCAGGGGGATGTTGGTGATGATGCAGCAGACCCTGCGCTGGGAGGTGAAAGCTCTCTTGAGGCGACTGTGCACATCGTACAGCCCCTCTGGGGTCAGTGTGAGCTCTGTGATGGCCTCCTGACTGTAACTTTCCTCCCTGTCGTCAATCCAGCTCACCAGAGCTGCAGGAAACCCCTTCCGAGACACACAGCTCAGAGACACAGCCTCCTGCTCCAGGACCTGCTGCAGCTCTGGCTGCTCATAGGACGCTGCAGAGAGTGACAGAGTCTGTGTGTCAGACCTTGAACAGCCCTGCCCTTCCCAAAGCACAGCACTGCTGACCACTCCAACTGCTCAATTTCAAGGACCAATAACAATAAACTTAAGGAGAAAACAACTTTCCATAAATAAAATAAACAGTATGCATTCCTTTTGAGACATTGTGAAAGAGCTGTTCCATGCTTACTAGTAGTGGATGACTTTATTCTTAAGGTGGTACTCCAAACGAAGACTGGCCCAAAATCATTTCTCACAGGTACTCTACCTTTTTTAATTTATATTTATTTTTATCAAAAATAAAATAAATCTGTAATCAAGCCAGTGGTGTAATTGAGCCCATACATTTTAGCTAAATGACGGAATCAGTTGCAATGCATTTCCAGTAATTGGAGCTAAGTCTTAATTTACACAAAGCAACAGACTGTAACTGGAATACAGTGCAGCTGTACCTACCCACTACTGTCAACACTGCGGTGTCTCTGTAACCAGCACCATCCATCACAATAAAACAGGTGTACTCGCCCCCGTCAGTCATTTCCACATTGGAGATCAGCAGGGACACATTTCCATTGGTGACGGCACTGGGGAACATCCTGCTCCTCCCACTGACACTGTGGTCCTGAACGTGTGACAGCTCTGGGCTCTGGTGGAACAAGTGAATGCTGTTTGTACGTCCCTGTCTCTTCTGGAGCCACTCGCCATCAATGTCTTTCCTCATCCCTGAAGTGTGGAACTGGCAGTCGATTCGGACATCACTCCCACGCAGCGCAGTGATTGCTGGGGTCAGCACGTGAACACGGGGGTTCCCTTGTAAAAGGAAAAGACGAAAATCAACATCTTCATTATGAAGGAAATTAATAATGGAGCGTAACTCAGGAGCCTTGTCCAGTTTCAGTTTAGTCCTGGGCGTCCCAGCTCCTGGACAGCAGATTTTTGTAGGTCCTTTTGGAAGAGTGCTAAAACCAGATTATTTGCGCCATGAAGAAAAAAAATTGTTTATTCAAGATAGTATTGTGTTAAAATGTGATAGTCAATCCTGATGTTTACCCGAGAGCAGTATCGCCGAGTTGAACAGACAGATTACCTTTAACATCCTAAAGAACCAGTACAAGGAAGATTAATGACTTCATGTAGCAATCAAACACTTCCTGTCATGTTCAGCTTTTTAAAATATTTTTTGCTTTTGCATTTCTGGCTGGTTGTTGTAATCACCACACAACAAATCAAACTACACAGAGATAGACAGATATACAGCTACACAATCCACAAAACATTTGAATGTCTTGAGAACCTGTGTGTGGTGTACTATGAACATCGGTTATACCTCCCTTTTCCCAGGGGATGTGAGGGGTTTATGTTACGTGATTCCGGGAGAAGTAGTTTAGATTAGTTTAGTTAGCTGTTCTTTGGAAGCTTTGCTGTTCAATAAAGCTACCATTCTGCATAATTCTCGAGTGCCTCCACGTTCTGAGGTAGATATAATACGGTTCAATAAAACAATTTTAAAAACGTTTGTAATTTTGGTGTTTCTTTGGAGAGACATTTCCGAGAATCGGAAGATTCTATATCGGACCGCACAAGCTGACAGTTCCCCGTATTTACCATTTGATTATCGTTTTATCAAAAGTATTTTTAAAAGTAAAGTAAAACAGCGTTTCTCTTGCGGAGAGTGACCTTGGTGACTGCTTTCCTGTATCTTATGTGGATGCCTTCCTCACTGTTGCGAAAAGAGTCAGACAGCATGGCTGAGGACATCATGTTGAACAGTGTCGGGGCAAGTACACACCCTTGCTTTTCTCCTTTACGCTTTGTCACAGGGAACGCTTATGAGGTCTCACCATCATCCAGCACATGAGCCATCATGCCATCCTGAAACTGGAGTGTAATGGTGATGAACTGGTCAGAACATCCAAACTTGGCCATTATCTTCCAGAGCCTACTGACAGTGTTGAAAGCTTAAGTCAGGTCCACAAAGACGGTGTAAAAATCCTTGGTCTGCTCTTGACACTTTTCCTGAAGTTCTCTGGCCGCAAAGGTCACTGTCCACTGTAACACACCCAGTGCGGAAGCTGCATTGACTCTCGGGGAGAAGATCTTGCTCGAGATGGTGGATGCGGCGGTTCAGCATGATTCGGGCCAGTATCTTACCAGCTATAGAAAGGAGTGTTATGCCACGATGGTTATCACAGGAGTGACAGTTGCCTTTTTGCTTGTACAGATACTGACAGCATAAACATCATTTAAAGTGGCGACTTTTGGACATATGGAAGAGTTTACAGCAAACAGAGAGAGTGTGTGGCTGGAATATGCAGAAAGGCTGGAGTATTGTAATGATATGTGTTAATATATGATATATGTCCGTAGGGAGTATATTAAGTAAAGGTGACAACAGAATCAAGTCAGTTACTAAATAGATGCAACATTATGTATAGTGTAGACTTATTACACAAATGACTTTGTGAGACCTGAAAAGAAACGTTCAGTTCTTTTAGCGTTTGTGGTGCAGCTACATATTCAACGGTCAGATCTCTTGTAGCCTCATGAAAATCTACTGAAGTAGCTTATGCAGAATGAATTGAGTGCTTACGAAAACATTATGACCCGAAGCCATCCACTTTAGCAAACTACACAGTTGCACTGAGGAAATTGTTGGTGCATTGTGAGTTCAGAGATCAGCTGGAGGACATGCTGCGAGACACGTTAGTGTGTGGCATCCATGATGAAGTGCTGAAGCGCCACCTACTGGCAGAACCAACACTAACTTTTAAAATGGCTGAGGAAAAAGCACTGGCTGCAGAAAAAGCCGCCATAAATTCTCGCCAGTTGAGGCCAGAACCTGAAACAAGCACCCTAATACCATTGGAGGTGCATCAGACCAGACCTAAGAAAACCAGACAAAATAGGGCTCAGTATGACAGCAGAGAACATGAAGAAAAACCTTGTTTTCAATGTGGAGGTTTACATGATCTGAATAATTGTCACTTTTCTAAAGCTGTGTGCCACAACCGCAACAAATAGGAGATTGCCAGATGAGACGGATCTCAGTAAAACTGCTCTCAGTGACTGAAACAGAGGATGAGGAGCTCACGGGACAGATTGGGTGTGTCCAGAATGACAGTCAGGAGTATAGAATTTACAGCGTACATCAAAGAGAACAAAGGAGAATGCCGTGTAATGCAGACGTCATGATTAGGAACAAGAAATATAAAATGGATGTGGATTTCGGATCAGCCTGCTCACTTCTAAATGATGCAACGTATCAGTATTTGTGGCCTAACACACCGCCTGAAATAAAACCAAACTTGGACAGTGATGGGAGAGATCAGGGTGGATGTATAATATCATAATAAGTGATGCAAATTACCACTGCTTATCATTGAAGGGAGAGGGACCAGTTTGGCCGGGGCATGACTGCTTTGAACCACTTGGCATCAAGGTTATAGGAGTAAATCAGATCATACAGCCCTCAGCACAGGTTATTGTACAACAATACGCACAAGTTTTCAAAGAGTGGGGGTGTAGCTCGTAGATTTGAACTACAGGATCAGGTGCAAATCCGTAGTGACGCTGGGGGCCCAAAGTGGGTGCCTGCTACTGAGGTGGAGGCAACAGGACCACTGTCATACAGGGTAGTGACGGCTGATGGCCGCACTCATCTCTGCCATGTGGATCAGATGCAGGGATGGTTGCCGGTTGAGCCTGATAGCTTGCAGTTGTCTAGTGTTGAGGATTCAGGATGTTTGG